TTATCCTCGTCGGATCTAACATTATCCCATTCGATACGCTTCACGAGAATAATAAAATCATCGAGATTTCAACGATTCTCATTTCTCAAAATATAAGCATCATCGCCGTGACATTAATTTAATGCTCAAATACAATTTTTTCATGCGAATATTTACCGTTCAGTTGTGCAGATACGCGAGATTTAAACTGGAAATATCTGTGCAGAAATAATACATTAATGAACGTTCCTTATGCGAATAATAATGCGGAAATCAGATCGATACGTATTATAGATCTATATGCATATTGCATGTTCATCATCCGTTCAGCTGAGCAAACAGTCGCGAATAGAGAGACGTGTTCGGAGAAGAGTAAAGTTTCGCGTCATGAACCTGAAAATCCTCCGTATCATCGTCCTGTTCGAACGATCCTCCATTGACTCGTCATGAAAAATGTACACCTTTTAACGTGAATGATGAATCGTCGTCCCCCTATCTCTGCCTCTGTAATTTATTCACGTGTAATCCATTGTTTCCGCGAGTGTATTAATATTCATCGCTCTGGTCGCAAACAAAACGATGAAAGATTAACTGCGGAAACTTTTCTGCCGTACCGATCCACGCAAGATCCGAGTTCAAACACGAAACATAACCAGCCCGATACATTCGAAGGTGTGCGGCTTTGATTTTTCCTGCGACAACCTGTCGATGATACGATTCTTTTCGACGCGCCAGCTTCTCCATTTTCGACCGGAAAATCTGTAAATAGCCGTTTTGATCGAATGTCAATAACGATACGCTACCGGTGTTACGTATATACGGGGTGTCGGTTTTAAATGGACACGATTTTGATGAAACTTTGGTGTATAGTAATGCTCGAAAAAATATTCGACACGTATTTGTTTATGTTGGAAATTGTCAACGGTGAAAATCGCCCTTAAAGTTGGAGGTAGTAAATGTATTTAGTCTGATATCTCGAAAATTATTGGAGATAGAGGAACAGTGTAAATTGACAAATTTTGTATTTTTCGATAACTAATTTGAAAAATAAAAAATAATAAATAATTTTGACTAAATATGTTTGTCACCTTTATCATCGTGTTTAGTTGAAAAAGACACCCAGTATGTACACTCGATATCTCGAACAGTGAAGTGACTAGGGGGACATTGTGATACCTGGCTGTGCACCTTACTAGCTCTTGGTTTATACGTATTTCGCCTGGGCATCGATGTATAATACAATCGAACCACGGATAACGGAATGAAGAACAGGTGGGATAAATCTGGACCGCGTGGAATATTTCGTTAAAAATCCCGTGTTCGTCAAATATTATCGAATCACGCGCGAAATACTATTGATCCCTTTAGAAACAGTGGACTTAAGCGTCTCATGGAATCTTCAGGGAAGCTTTTCCACACGGATTTATCACGTACGTGCGAATGCGCGGGAGATTTAAACGACGGTACAAATGACGCGTAAAAAGTGCAAAATTTGACAATTGTATCGAAGAAAAGTATAATACATAAACGAACTTCGTCGAACTTTTCGAAATGAAAGCTCGATTAAAATTACTAAGTTACCAAGCTGCTAGAAAACCACGATCGTTTGCCTCAAAGCTTCAACGACACGTCGCAATTTTCAGTTCAATATGATACTCTACTCGATCGCCAATAATCAAATCCGGCAACGCAACCAATTCCAGGGGCGTTTTCAAGAGACCAGTACCATGCGTTATAAAATGGCCACCGTTGGCAGGCATTCCGTGAAATTTATTCGCGTGCTCGCCGTTTGGACGGAAGTATGCCGAATTCGAAATATACAGGGTGTCCCAGTTGTTTCTGATCAAACTTTGTCAGTGTGTTCTATGGGTATAAGTAAGCAAAAAATGTTATATAAACATAAATCGTTTGAAGCTTCGTTGTAACAAAATAATGAAAATAAGAAATACGAAGAGAAGGTTAACGAACTTGCGGTTGCTACGATACAGGACAAGAATGACGATGGCAGACGTTACATTCAACACCTTCAACGACCACAGATCGTAAACACAGTATTCCTGTTTCGCATCATAACCGCACATCCGTTATTTCGTATTATTGCCATAACTTTTTAATAAAGCTTCGAACGACCTATATTAACATAACATTTTTTCCTCACTTACACCCATAGAACACACTGCCAAAGTTTGGTCCAAAACAATTAGGACACCCTGTAGATCGCTTCGACACGAATGAGACGTCTATACACGCATCTTCTCGATTGAACGATGGCGCCGAAGCTGTCAGCTAAGATTGTTTACGAACAAACGCGACTGGAGCTTAGTTTCAGGGTTCCAGTTACCACGAACAAACGTAAAATCCCGTGGACGTGACCGTGGTCGCGGCGTAAATCAAGCGAAGAAAAACCGCGCGGGTGGAATCACGATAACGAAATCGGGCGAATTTAAGGGGTCATTCCCACCCGTTGAAATTCGTTCCCCGGGTCTCGTGGCCACGCGCGCGCCCAGGTATCGCGGTCACGCAGGTAGCAAGCTGCCTGCAGGTGATGGGTCCCGCAACCGCGGAAACCTGTGAGTTGCCCGCAACCGCACACAATTAGACACCCGCGAGGTCGTGCAGATACCGAGCTCGCAATTCGTATCGTTATCTCGGTCTTTGAGGAAGACACAGCCCCGCGGCGGAGGCGGTAAATTTCCAACCGCATAACGTCCTGTCTCGTCCAATCGAACCGCAGAGATAAGATAAAGCACAAGGGGTCGAGAGACTTAGCTCCGGAAACCCGTGAAAATTAGTCGATTTTCCGTTAACGCCGTGTTACACCGTGGCGCGATTCGAAAGTTCGGCCTTAACCTTCGAGCTCGATCGTAACCCCAATCTGGCTCCCCAAGATTAACGACTGCGTTCCTTTGAACGTAGAATCTCTGCCGCGATAAGTCCGATAATACAGTCTGGGGGGGCAAAAAAGCTATTTAACTTTTACGGAACAGGAGGAAAAGAGCGTAGGAGGAGGGAGGAGGAGGAGGAGAGGTAGCTTTCACCGGTTATCGGTCGATGACACGATGACAAACGACGGATCGGTCCGCGCGATAAGGACCCTCGAAACTAGGCGACTATTCAAATTAAAAACCGAAGGAGTATTACGATCCAAGGGTATTTTTTAAGGGATCTTCTTCGTTTCTTGTTCAAGTAGCCCCGAAACCGTGGAACGGGGAGAAATACGGTTTGCGTCGCAGCAGGACACCGTCCGACAATAAAGCTCCGCCGCGCGCGACCCTTACCGCAGAACGAACCGAACGAACAGCCAGAGAGACTGTGTGTGGCTTAGCGCAAGCGGAATAAAATTGCCTCGCCAAGGGAAACATCCTCGAGATAGAAATACACAATGGGGCCAGGATGTAAGAGAGCTACACACGGATCCATCCCTCCCCACGGAATCGACGGATACGGAAACGGCGTGCAGACTTCGAGAGCTACTGTTAGGCGAAGAGAAAGGAAAGCAGGCGAGATAAATCTGTTTCCAGGCACAGATCATCGAAATTCCGGAGACGTAGCAGGCAGGAGCGCGCCGAGGGTAGGGCACACAGTAGGGTAGAGGGTAGGCGAAACCGAAAGCAGATGGGGATTGATTGGCTCGTGTCTCTACGGCGCTAGAGTAAAGCTAGCTCCGTCGAATCCGTCCGGTATACAAAGGGTCTTGTGCATGCGTGCACGCAATCACGCACACGTCGAACACCGCGCGCGACTTAGCGCATTCGAACCAACTGCGCGCGGTCACTGACAGCAACACACAGAGCCTACCGGTAAACGCGCGGTTATCGTCTCACCAGTTCGCTTCGCGCCACTGCGTCACGCGTGTACACCTACGTAACGCGCATCCCGACACACGCAACGTGCCTATCGGGTGACGTATGTAACGGATTTACCCCCCAGGCACGCATAAAAGTAACGCAGCACGCGTACGCGCGTTTCACTTGCGTGAGGATGTACATCGCTAATTCACGCACATGCACGATACGAGCGTGTACAGGCATGTACGCGCGGGCCAAAGTAGAGGGGCATAGATCATAGAGACACATGTGCACCAGGGAGTAAGTACGTACACAACGATATACAGGGTGTCCAAATTGTTTCCGATCAAACTTCGCCAGTATATTCTATGGGCGTAGGTAAGAGAAAAGTGTCATGTAAACGTAGGTCGTTTGAAGCTTCGTTACAAAGTTACAGCAATAATACGGATATGCGGTTACTATGACACAAAGTAGAAATAGATCGTTCACACGAGCTGTGTTTACAATCTGAGATCGCTGAAGATGATGAATACAACTTCTATCGACGCCACTCTTGCCTTATCATAGCAAGTTCGTTACTTCGTATTTCTGCTATAACTCTTTAACGAAGCTTCAAACGACCCACGTTCACATAACATTTTTTCCTCACCCACACCCATAGAACACACCGACGAAGTTTGATCGGAAAAAATTCGGGACACCCGGTATATCGGCACTGCGAGGACACGCGATAAACCGAGTGTACGGAACGCGGGGCGTATTAAGAACACGGACAGACAGCTGGTCTCCGTGAACACAGTCGCAAGTAACAAGCAGAACGAGCTGTATCGAACATCAGCTATTGTTACCGGTATTATTTGCTACTAATCAGAACGGCGAAGCGTGCACGACGAGAAGAAGGAATGGACAGTTGGTGGCTGCGTTCGGTGAGCGAGCGGGTGAGCGAGTGGCAGGGAATTTCATCGAGCAGCATGGCAGAGCGAACCTGATTGCGCTAGCCACCACGCCCTGACCCACGAGATTTTCAAGATATCCGACACACGAGCCACGAGAGGGTCGCTAGGCGCGGGGTCAACCAACTCGACCCCTCGTCGTCGTCGTCTTTGCCGCTTGTTCCTTTCCGTGCAGCTTCGATACGCCGCCGCGCCTTTCGAAAACTTTCCGCCACGGCTGACGCGTTACCTAAATAGCCAGCCGGGGCGCAAGGATACGAAGATCGGAATAGAAACTCACCGGTGTCGGGAATAGTCGCGAATTGGCCGGCGAACGGTGCTCCGATGAGTCGCGTTGGTGATTCATCTGAAACAAAGCCACACGAACGGTTGTTAGATTGATCTGTTGCCCGGGGCGGACTTCGAGGAACCGGGGCGGATGAAGTGGGAGCCACTCGAGATGGAGAGGGCTACAGGACCCGTTGCAGGAACTTGTAATTCTAATAAAAGTGAATTTGTAATTTGCAACGTTGTACCTCTGTTTGTCGTTAATTAATATTTACAAAACAGTCGGTGGGTGTTAATATTTACGAGGCGACCGCATTTGTATTTATGACGTGTATTCACATTTACGATGTAATTAAGGTCGCCGGACGTAAAATTATTCGCAATTGTTGATTAAATTTCAAATACTTTGCTCGTTATTGTTTGCCGTATCTGCGTCTGTATTGCTGTTTCGTGACGGCGAAAAATACGGATAACTTGTGTACCGAAAGGAGCATCCAAAATTTGATTTTATCAATAAGAGACGGTGAAAAGTGAAGTTAAGTTAACGAACCAGGGATTATCCGGGGTACCAAGTAGAGATATTGAGTATACGGTGAATGACGATCATAATGGCGGTGGTTTTCAATCGGGTAACGTGGGGTCCTGTCACAGTTTGACAACGAATCGACGACCCTAGGGAAAATTATATCCTACAAACTTTAACAAGCTTCTTTTCAATGTCCTCAAAAGTCAATAAAAAATCAATCTTCGCAACACATTACAGCTTAAAAAACATTTTGTGCCTTAATTCGCAACTAACGATTATTTTCGTAAATTTGTCACATTTCCCCTTATATTTCTCTAATCTACGATGAAAGAAATTGTGAAAAGACGATCTTCAATAATATAAATCGCTCGAGGAGATTGTCAATTTAGTTCGAAAACGGTGTGCGCATAATAGAGAGTGCGACAAGAACGATTATTTCCATGGAAGTATTAGTTACAGTGTCATAGTTTCCATTTATTGGTACACGAGCATTCGTATGGACGAATAAGTACAATCAATTAAGCACCTATTTATTCCCCGTTTTCAGTTAATGAAAAATCTGCCAATCGCGCATCAGCATATATTATTATACACCTGCATAGCCGTCGTTTCACGGGCAGCAATACCTTCCCATATTTCCCCCGTCAAATTGTTGACATCGCGTATACGCAATATTACGGCTTTGTACGCGTTCCGATCCGAATTCCAATCACAGTATTTAAGTGTACAAACGTAACATTTGTTTGCAACGATTTGCACCTGCTTCCACAGAAATTCTTCCCCGTTCGTCTTTCGCGTGGCTGAATTCTCTCGTAAACGAAATTATCAAAGTTACACACTGAGATACACCTAGAAATTTCGACTCGGCGAAACGACTCAGGGAGGAATCGTGAGATAAGTGAAAGAAGAAACAATACAGCAGAGTTTCCCGCGTAAAAACAGATTCTACCGTCGATAGGTTGCAGATGAAGTTCATCAGGAGTAAGAGACCCAGCGGGAAAGAAGAAGTTGCTCCGTTAAAGATTTAAGATCGGCCGCTACAAGAAAGTTTAGCAAACGTGACTACTTTGGGTAGCTGAATGCGGAATCACCGCGATGCATAAAACATCCCCGGCAATTATTCTTATTACACGCCATCTAGTCGGCGATATTGTCCCTTCTTTCTCGCCTAGATCTCCTCTCTCAGTTTTGCATCGTGGAATTTCGCGCGCGAACAAACCGCGGATATTTTCCGGACGTCGTCTCCTTCGTTACGGAATTTAGAATAATTTGCTGGAAAATTCGCGAAACTAACGAAAGGAAAAATAGAGTGAATAGAAGAAAAAAAAAAAAAAATTCGGCGCAGGAACAACGTTTAAACTGAAAGTTCAGGTTCTGGGTTCGCTTATTTATTGTTTCGAACTGCGAACGCAGTTCGGGGTGAAAAGTTGCTCGAACTCGTTTGAACATCTGTAACGAACAAAGATCGCGTTTCAATAGCCGACTCTACGGAAATTCTTCTTTTTTTTTCTCTCTCTCTCTTCTCTTTCCTAGCGGGAAAAGAAAGTATTAAAAGAGACCATGGGGGCAGGAGGCGATCGATAGGCCTTGCCTTTTCCTCGCGAACGAGCAAAGGAAATTCTTCAAACACGGGAGTCACTAACAAGTATCAAAAGTCGCTTGATGCAACGCCTCCTTAGCGAGTGGAATTAATTGAAAACATCGGAAAAGTTCGCCGATTGTAAATACGTATCAATTAAAAGCTCCCCGTGAATGCAACCGTGCGAACAATCGAGTGTCTGTTACGAACCAACATTTGCGAGCGTTTATTGTGAAAGGGAGTGCAGCTCCACTTTTCGAACAAATTGAGTAACAAATAATTTACGTATAATTTAGCGGCAATTTTTTATTTACAGATAAATCAGAGTTTAAGAATAATTTTTTATTCATTGATAGAGATTTTTTTTTTTTCCGACTTTTGGGTAGAATCAAAATGAAAAAGAATGAAAACAGGTCAAAAATTGAAATAATTCCAATTATCGTCGACGACCTTCCGCCATATTTCTGCCAGCTCGCGAATATCATCGCGATAGAAACTCGGTGGCATTGAATCAATTATGCGAATCCAGTCGAAAAGACTTCATTTCTACACGTAACAGATAATTTATATTTTAAAATATCCATATGCTTGAAGTTGCTAACTTGCACAATGCACAGTGATTCCAAACTTTTTGTCGGTAGTGTTGGATTATTACGAGAAATGAGTGTGTAGTGGTAACAGCAAAAATGATCAACATGTGGTTGTATAACACTTGATAATAAGTTAAATAGCAATATATTTTATAACAATAACTATAAACACACGTAAAAAGAAATAATGATAATTTGCTCTCTAAATATATCTCGCAATAAATTCTCACGTACTCACTGATATCAATAACCAACGCGCTTCACCTGTTTTACCCCCAGTTACCCTGTATGATCCGCTCGTTTACCAAATCTCGAGACGATTCGGCATACTCACTACATTCACGCCATCACTCACATCTTATTATTAAACCAATTCCACACAACATACTGAGACAGGTTGTTAATATAAACGTATATAGAAGAACGACATAGTAACGACTCGCGTATAAAGTAAAGAATAGCTTTATAACTGAAATACCACATTTTAGATTTTAATGAAATTTAGGGAACTTGTGCATATTTTAATAAAATTTAGTAGACTTCGGTAGATTTAAATAAAATTCATTGAACTTATATTTTAATATTCTTGTCGAACTCTTATCATCGCGTACTAACATGCCTTCCTCGCGTATAAAATAAAAGATAATTTCATAACTGAAACACCACATTTGAACTTATTCCCTAAATCCACTAGACAGTGTATATTTAAATTCCTCGAAAAGCGAGCAAACTTAGTACTCCCTCGTTATTGTCAACTCTCCTGAAACACAAACCCTTAAATGTCTCGCCGCAAGGAGCAATGTATTTACGCCATTTTCACAATAAACGGTCCATTTAACGCTTTGTATTTACCGAACCATTTGCCGGTGCACGTTGAACAGGCCGCTCTGCAGCACAATTTACCATTATACCGCGTTATTGAGATATTACCATTTACTATTGCATTATACCGTCTAGGCATCAGCGGTAGACTTGATATACCATTTGCACAATACTACGTATCGGTATTGTTACCAGCGTATCGTCGTCAGTCAGCCGGGCCGCTGTACGCCAGACGACGTTGCAGAAACGCAAATCCCTGTCGAAGTCGTCGTCTCCGTCGAAGGTTGCGCGGCGCGCGTCTACGGGCGGAGGGAATTCGTCCGCGAAGAAAGCAGGACGAGGAGTGGAGCCCGATCTAATCGACGGAAGTCGTTCCCAGTCGGAGTGTTCGGAATAGTTGCCGAAGAAAGCTGCAAAACTGACACCGCCGCAGGTATGTAGGGGGCGAACTGGCTGCAGAGAAACCGACAACTACGGCCAACTGAACGAGAACCACCGGTTTCACCGTAGCTTGTACACACCGTTAATTCGATAGCTCCGTCAGGAACGTCAAGAATGTTCCGGAATTCTATTCGAAGTATGCGGTATATAGAGGATATCTCTCCTAGGTGGCGACTGTGATCTGAGAATTTTTGCTGCGGCGATCGTCGCTGACTGGCATCCGATCGATTCCGATTCCCCCGCTGAATTTACCCGAACCTCTTCTTCCCGACTATTAGCGTCCATTCGTTGCTCGCGGAGTCGATTCGAGAGATTGGAGGAGGAGGAAGGATCGTGAACGGTTGTCTCTCGAAAACCGCATTACTCATGCGCTTCCGCGATCCTTTTTCGGACATTCAACTCTTCTGATTGCTAACTGTCGTGCGAACCTAACTCCTTCGTTCGTGGGAATATTTTTAGAGGGGGTTACAAATGAAATACGTCGATTACGGTTTTGGCTGATCTTGAAGGAATATCGTATGTGAACGGAGTTAAGGAAATGTGCTTTGTGATACTTTCACGGATGTTTGACTCTTATGTTTGCCGTCTGCTAACTGTCACGTAAATTTGAGTCTTCGTTTTTGGGAATAATGTATTTTGAATGTTCGGACTGAAGTAAGTCGATCGCTGTTTTGACTGATCTTCTGAATAAATTTGCGTGCGTAACGGTAAATATGAATCTGGTACGTGGACAGAGTTGTGATTAGTTGTGAGTTATCGTTCGACTGCGTATTTTTATGCAAATTCATATTCTTATGAATATAATTTAAAAAACTGAAGCATGCATCTACAATTCTCTGTCGCGTATCTTCCGGCATTGTTGGAGGTTCTTTATAAACTTTTTCCTTAAATGCACCCCATAAAAAGAAATGCTTAACCATCGATGCAGACGTCGTAGAAAGAAGTATTGCTGCTAGTGGACACCATTTTGAGCATCGATTCAATTAAGGCAAATGATAGTTTTTTAATGTTTCTGTGGTTTAGACGAAGAAGAAATACTTTTTACGGTGTTTGCCGAGTTCGTCTCAGTATCTCCTAAAAGATGGGTGTAAAAAATATTGTAGGTTTACCTATAAAAAAAA